CTATTTTTTTTTCCTGTAGTTCCTCACCAGAGTTACCGTGCTGGGGTTAGAGATCACTGTGCCCAGGCCTCTTGAATAAGGTCCTCAGTGGCTCACCCGCTTTTTTTGTTTGGAAGAGGCAAGAAACTTCCTCAGGTTCAATCTGTTTCAGCTTTTACCTTTCTTGCCTTTCTCACACTATTTTTACTGCTCATTAGATAAAGCCTAGCTGGCTGCTGCCAGGAAAATTAGATCTTCTATTGTTTTAACAGTAATTATGGAGAGTTCAAGATAAGGTTTGTGTTATAAAAGTAGGGAGTAGGAGTGGTTTGTATTTTACTTTCATTATAATTAGATAGGGAATTATGAAAAGGTGAAAAATAATTCATTCAAGTGCTTTCCTCTAGCAAGCTAACAAGGAAGGTGCATTCTCGCACAGACGGAGTTCAGGGTGGATCATCGAAGCACCATTGTTCCTGATGTGTGCCTTTGCCTGCTTCTATTGTGCTTCACGTGTGGGCAGAAATGGGCAGGGTGAGGCCCTCTGACACCTTTCTGTTCAGCTGAGGGCCCTTTGTGTTACACAAAATTCAGGCTACATTAGTCCACGGGGTAACTCCATGGAGGCCATTTGAATTACTGCAGAAATTAATTTGAACCATCAGTCAATTCCTGTGTAACTTGCAAAGGACATGAAAATATGACTAATCTAAGAATAAATTAATTGGGCAGCTGTCTCCCTTTCATTTGCACACTACTGAGATAAACATTTGGGCTAAGAAGCTGTCCTCATTACGATTTCCTCACTTGATGCTGCTTCATGGGGGATGTTTATGACTACCACATAGCTACCATGTTTTCAGAATTTTTCTTCATATGAAATTACTGCGGTTCAGGCTTTTAAAGGCACTTTTACAGGGAGGAAAATGAAGTTCAGGGGCCTTGCTTGGAGTTTCTAAGCAGCTGTAAAGATTGGCTGTGCCAAAGCCCCTCAGGTTAGATTTCCCTCTGTAATAAACCATCTCAAGGTGTTCCCTCCATCACTGATGTTGGTCTAACCCTTCACTTCCCACTAAGTATGGCTTGAAGGGCAGTGGGGAGCAAGTGAAACCCACTGTAACAGGCCGGCAAAACTTCAGCAGTACTTACACTTCATGGCAGGATGGAGGAGCAAAGGAGGTCCTTGCCATGGCACAACTGCTTTAATCTTTTTCTTCGAAGCTTTTTTCCCCCACCTGTGAAGACTGAGGCCCTGTGGTTTAGCATACGTATAAAAAGGTTCATCCCACCATGCCTGCAGCTCCTTTATCTCTCAGTGTGCTGCCCATCACCGGAGTAGCTGAATCGTTTATGCATAAATTCTATCAAGCTTCCACCACTTCTTCCTTTTCAGCTTCACGACCCTATTTAGCTGTGCTTTGCAGGAAAAAGCAGGGCACTAGGAGAGAAGTCCTTCAAGTGAGTCTATGGCACAAGACCACTAAAGTTAATGAGGCTCTAGTGGAGAAAATTTTGTCCATTCAGAGCCAACAGTAGCTTCAGAAACTTTGCAAGGCAGACTGAGGCTAGGAAGAGGATGTATTGCTCTGCTGTGTTTGCAGATAAGGAAGTGAGATTCCAAGGGAATGAGTGATTTACCCACAGTTGCACAGAAAATCAGCAAGAGATATGGAAATTAATGCTCAGAAGCCTAATCATAAAGCAAATCTTTTCCCTCAAATGCCAACAGCATTAAATCCTTTTCAATAATGGCATAGGCATAAGAGTTTTACTGACTTACAGTAATGCTTCCATCAAAAAATTTTACAAGGTAGCCAGCTCAGGTAAAAATGGTTGGTCAGTATTATGACACACTTCCAGCTGCAGGGATCAGCAATTGTAAGGATCAGGGATTGTAACTGAACTGAGCAAGTTTACCTGTGAGATTCCTTTGAGGATCAAGTCATGCTAAGGTTGGAAAATTCAAGATGAAAAAACACTAGGTGGGTTTCATTATATTTACCACTAATTAGGCAGGCTTTGAAAAACGTAGACTGAAATATTCTCGTGCTGGGAAGCTATTAAACTGTTAAGCTGAGGGGATATATGACTTAGAATAGGAAAGATTCACATCTCTTGCCTACAAATATATAAATCATTTGTACATCATCTAACTATTTGACTGTCTCTGAGTAGTATTTGTATCAACATGATATCTAGAGTAGCTGCTCAGAGAACCACTTTTTGTATAAATACATAATAGCTTCGGCCAAAGTCTTCAATTCATTGTGTGTTAATTGAAAATAATAGTGCTACAGCAGTGATCAAAGAATCGTCTCATTAATTGCCTATTAAATCATTAGCTATTAAGCAGAAATAAAAGGTTAAGAATGCAACAGCCTCTGTTCTGCCCAAAAGAATATGAATATTTCTTCAATTACAAAGAAACAATAAAGGCAGAATTAACAGTGAAAAGAAGCTTAAGATTAGGCAATTACATCCCAAACGCCTGACAACTCTTATTAGGGGGTTTAGCAGCACGAGCTATATAGAAAAAACAACACAAATTTGGAAGTAAAGTCAATACTGACTTTACCAAAGGGGCTTGTAAAGGGAATATGCATTTTTCTGAAAAAATATAGGCACATAAAAGCTGTACTAAATTTTATCTCAGCTAATTAATCATTATGGGTTCAATCTTGCAATCAATACATTTCCAGTCATGTCCATGCCTGAACAGCATTTAGTCTGAGAGCACCTCTCAGTAATTTGTGACTGAAATCCATTATAGGTATGCTGCGATTTTCACAAAAATAACATTACTCCCATTTCATATCACCAGGAAGAAGCAAGATGAATTCATTGAAGACCACATTCACACCTCTCGGTTTTGTTCATTAAGTCCGTATATCAGAGAGTTGGCTACCAGGTCTGAGAAAGAGTCCCAGAGGCATTCCCTTGTGTCAGTGATTTGATCCCCAAATAATTTCACAGAGCAGCCAAATGAAGACCTGATTTATACCAACTTAGTCCTTACCAGGAAAAAAAAAAAAGGAAACTATAGTACAAATCTTGTAAAACCTGGGCAGAATTATGTCCTGTATTTTGGTCTGCTCTATCCAGATCACTAAAAGAAAGGGAGGACAGTCATCAGCCTGAAAGTGCTTTGAAGTACCTGATTCCACTTAGATATACAACTCGTTTAAAAAAAAAGGGCGAAAGCTTTGCTTTCTTGAAGTATATAAATCCACAACTGCAACTGGAAATCTTGTCTCTGCTCAGAGAGGTTGTGTCAAGCCTTATTTAGTTGCCAGCTTCGGTGGACCTTTTAAATTTGAACCCCAGAACAACTTCATGCCCAGCTTTGGCAGGATATCCATATGGACAACTGCTGACTGAACTAAATGGACGTTAAACGGGTGATGTTTTGAAATGCAACATCTCCCTAACATCTGCAGATACTAATTTTATTAGTGGAAAAGGAATGGGAGTCTTTTTCCTGACCTTTTCCTATCTGGCTCAGTCCAGTATTCTCTAACTACAGCAAATCCTAGGAATACCAGCAACTCAATTAATAGAAATGGAGGTCCACATACGCCATTTTTTAAATCAGTATCTGGTTTTCTGAAGTGCAAGGAAAAGACAGTCTCAGCAATATGTTGATGGTATATTGTTTTAGAGGATGTAATTTATTCCAAAAATTGGTAACCAGCTTATTCAGAGTTGTTGAAAGGTGAATTTTTTGATCCAGCATATCCTCTTTAAAAAACCTTTGCTGTATGCAATTCTTTAGCCAGCTCAAGAACATGCAAATCTGACAAAGTATGAGCTATCTATTAGGACCTTTGCAGTCCTATCTACAAATACGTTATAATAATAGGTGAAAAGTACACAGGTATAGGAAGTGGGTTTCAAATGGGATCTGAAGAGAATTTAGAAATGCTCAGGTCTGGAATACATTCACTTTGTTGGTAGCTAGAATATGGGGAAAAACTTGTTTCTTGAAAGATATAGAGTTTATCATAAGAACTGCAATTTACAAGATTGCTACGTAAAAAGGATGACTATACTAAAATAATTTTATAGCATTTATATACAATATACTGCATTGCTCTGGAAGTGAAACAAAGAAACTCTCTTCCTAGGACAAGCCCTAGGAACTCACAAAGATATAAACCAGCCAAAAAAAAAATCCATACGCCAAATCTATGCAGAATTCATTGTAGCCAATTCTTAAGTTCAGTTAAAACAAGAAAAAAGCATCCCCCAAACATATAATAAAACAGATAAACCTTTTCAAGACATTAAAGGGTACCTCTTTTATGCTTAAAATTAATAACGAGCTAAAAGCTGGAAGCCATGCAGTGGTGTCGGAAGCCATGCAGTGGTGTCAGAAGTCATGCAGTCAACACCTTGACAAAGTCACATTAATGCTATTTTCATCTGTGTCAGAAAGCGAGAACCAGTTGAAGATCTTATATAGAAAAAAACCCCACAACATTGTTTAAAAGCTCCCAGCTCTCATTTTAAGAACTTTTAAATTATGGTTGCTATGTTCTGTTCTCCATCATGTTCCTCCAGATTTTGGTACAATTCAGTATCTTTACATGTAAGAAACTGCTGACTGGAAAGCAGGTGATGCAGTGAGAACCAGTTAGGAAACCTTACTGTACATTGCTAAAATAAACTGCATTATTACTATTAAATAATGGATGCGGAAAAGCCACACAAGAGCAAAGATCCCTTTGTGGGGAGTTGACTTTTCCCCAGGGAGAGGCATGAGACAGCACATTCTTTCTCGTCAGCACTGGCTGGCCAGTGAAGAAAGATGCTCCTTCAGCATCCCTGACCTTCTGTTCCCACGTGGAACACACCAGAACAGAGGGATCCACATCAGTCTCTGGAAATGCCTTAACTTTGTGTAACCTCTGGACACCACCCGCCTCATCGGTGAATCCTGAATGCGGGCCACGTCCCAACGCCGTGGAGGTGGAGGAGAAAAGGGTGAAAACTCCATTCCCCACCTTGTGTGGGGACCTTACCTTTATGACGTCTTCATCCGCTGATTTGCACTCGATGGAGTCTGAAACATCGACCACAGACCCATCCTCCTGCACAGCAACAACCTTGACTGGAACAGACACTGTTTTGCCTGTCAGAATGGCCGTGTTGAGGACTTCCGTGTCCTGTATGCACACACACACACACAGAAACGATGGATGGGCATTAGAGAAGCATAAAACCAAAAGGATGTCACAAGGGTCCAACTGATGAACCAAAACTTGCCTTTGGCAGGTACAGGAGCAGAGAGTGACCCTTCCCTGAACACTCCCTTCGAGCTCCCTGCAGTCAATGGTTTAATGACTTTCTAAGCCAGAAGTTGCATCCGGACCATCAAGTTCTGGTTTTGACAGACATTTAGACTCTTTTTCAGCCCATTCACATGTCTGGCTGCTGTGGCAAGGAAACCTGTAATGCAATTATGTGCAAAGGTACGTCTGCGGCTTGGCAGACCCGCAGTTCTAGTCAGGCACGATCTCCAGAGCGTGTCAGCAGCTCTTCTCATCCCTTTGCCCCAAATCGTGCCAGTGCTTTGGGAAGTGATTATCAAGCATTACAATAACAGCATGTCTTCCTTACTGTTCCCGTTAACAGTGTTGCGAGTTGGCTGTTTTCTCTTTTCAGGACATAAATACATGATGAGAAAAGCCACTCATGAGGCAGGGTATTGCAAACCAAGTAATGCCATCCATATACAATTTTTTTAATCTTTCCCCATCAAAATCCCACCTAGAGATGTTTTACCACATTTGTCTCTAATCCTGATGAATTCACAATGCTGGCACTCTAATGACTCTATTAACACAGCCTTCCTCTGTGTCTCAGTATGGCTGCAAGTTTGATTAATTACTCCAAATGAGTACTACAGATTGCTACAGCAGTCCCAGCCTTGCATGAGCATGTATGCAGGCTGGAGAGGAAGAGCCTCCCAAGGCCCACAGAGCAGCTTGTCTCTGTTTAAGCAGCACTCACTGTAGCCTCAAAACGTTTTCGGGGAGAGGAACGGTCTGTGCTCTCGTAGAGGTTCGGTTTGACCTGCTCCAAAAGCCAGCAGTAGGAAATACTGCTCTGAATCAATCCACTTTTCATTTTTCAACTTGTATAAAACTAATTGCTTGCCAGTTGAGAGGGAAAAAAAAAAAAGTTGCTTCAAACTAATCTAACTTTAAATTCCATTATTAGAATTGGTGGAAGAAGAAATGGATTTTAGTGAAAAATTTGATGCAGCTTGCATAGGGGGATATATTCACTATCATTTGCTTCTGTCTGCTGGGTAGATTGACAGAAAATAATGGGCATTGACCACAAGCTAAGGACAGCTGGGGAAGACCAATAAATACTTGCAACTAAGATGTATTATTAATCAATATTTGGAAACTTCTACAAAAAGCACCCAGAATTAAATGAGTTGAAGTACTAATAACACTAGTCTCATCTAACTAATATAGTCTACCAGTGCTTTATGGGCAGTCATGCTCCAGAAAAGCATTTAAGCCTGTACCCGAGTCCATTTCGGTTCAGAACAGCACTAAAAGTACGTGCTCAACCTGACACTTAAACTTCAGTGTGATTTAAGCATTTAAGTGTTGTCCTGAACAGAGATGCTTTTCTGAATAATACCTCTTGAACTAAGTACAGTGTCTTTGTTCTGTTCTCTGCAAGGCACAAACCAGATGTTTTACACAGTAAATGAGTGTCTAGTTTGTGTTTATGCTGAGTGGGCTCATTTATAAGCAGCTGCCATCCATGAGGGAGGGACACTGGGAAAGAAAGAAGTACGGGACAAAAGTGCAAGTGTGAAAGCACAACTGTAAAACCTTCACTAAGACTGAGGCTTGAACAAAACCAAGAAGAAAATATACTACCAGGTGAAAGAGAGTAATGATATGTACCTCAGGTGGAAAGAGGTTGCATAAAACAAAGAGAAACTGAGGGTGCTTCATCCACAAGTATATCAGAAAGTACTTCAATTTCACCAAACCAACAGCAAATATCCCATAAATCCCAAGCCATCAATCCAGTATAAACATATGCCAGATAGATGATGAAGACATGGTGCTCTTGGTGTCAAAAGGCTCCCAAGAAGCAGTTTGCCAATAGGCTATTTCTAAGCCATTCTTCAGCAACAGCGAGTCTTCTTCAGTGCCTCAGGGGAAACAATATCTTTGCCAAGGTCACAAACAACGAACACGTGACTAATTCTGGCAGCCCAGCTATGGAGCTCCTGCGTATCAGGGGCAGGCAGCACTCGTATGCAATTACGGTCTGATTCCACAGCCCTACTGACTCATAGAAGAAAGACTTCTTATAAGACTTCTTTTGACTTCAGTGGTCTTGGAATCAGCTTCTCAACAGGTCTGAAATAATTTCTCCTTTGTTTTTTTGCACCCTCATGTTGATCCTCACATGTGACAAAGGAAAAACAAAACCTCTGGCCTCCTTTCAACTATAATTGCTGCTTAGCTACCAAGCTAAAGTCAGACTTTGGTGCTCTGAAGGATAATGCAAAGTTTATATAGACATCTGCATTCCTTTTGTGAACTCCCTGTGAAGATGAAAGGTCTTAAAAGAGACACCTCATCCTGCTATTTCTGGGTGCTCTGAAATATGCTTATCCTACTCTTGACACAAGCACTGTCCTGAGCCTTCCCGCCTTCCCAACATGTATGGGTACCCATTGCGCTAATTAGCTGGTGCTGCTTCACAAACCTACACTTCATGGTTAAGCAATTCTACTATATAAATCAATATTTCTGCCCGATGCCTGCATTGAGTGTTACACAAGTATAATAGGCTCTGTAAAGACCTTTTTAAGAGCTGGCTCTTTATAGACTGAAAAAATTTATTTCCTCTGAGGAAGAAATATGAAGGCAGAACTGAACTAATTGGCTGTCCCTTAGATTTATAAACAGAGGGGTTTTTTTGTGCATCTTCACCAATAGCATTTAATCTAATTTCTGTCAGGCTTGGTTACTTCAGAAAAAAAAAGTGTTACTGAATTTAAGATACCTGTGCTGGTATACCTGTGCAGCATCTGAAATGTAGAGGGAGGGGTAGTAATGTTAATTTACACTGATAGGTCCTCGTGCGTGGCACAGCATCACTGAAACATCTGGAACAACGCCTGGGGACCACCAGCACAAACCCCAGCTGCTGAAACTGCAAAGTCCCAGGTGAAAAACTGGGAATCCCTTCCTGTTTCTTTTGTTAAGGGTCTCACCTGCCAGACCGTGACCAAAACCTTCAATTCAAGCACCCTGGGTGGAAGCCACACGTTCATATTGCAGGCTCTATCCCTGAATAATAATTATGTGCATGTTTATCTCCAGCTCCTTCTCTGTACCTGAATGCATTAGCACTTCAGCAGAGCTCTTCTTAATTACAACTGTAACCCGCTAATAGCGTTTCTTTGTTGTCTGAAGGAATCTACTTCTTATCCAGCCTGGGCTAAATTAAAATTTAATACAACATCAGGTCGCAACAGAACTAGGAAGCAAATGACAGCTGTTTAATTAAAACCTAAAGCTGATTAGAAGGCACTACTGAGAGAGATACTCCAGAGGAAGAGCAGGAAACTACTGAAACTTAAGGCCAGAATAATGGCTTTATTTAAATATGAATAAACCCTGTGCACAGCCATAGTAAATGTTTGACAACTCATTGCTTTGGACAAATGGGGTGGAAATGTGAGCGTCAAGAGTCATGATAGAGCTGTGATTACCAACACTGCTGTTACCTGTGTGCGTGACCAGAAGCAGGGATTGCACTAGACAGGCACAAGCCAACAGAGGAACTTCAGGCACAAAGTTCCCAATAAACACTACCAAACCCTCCTTAGGCATGTGACTCCACAGCAGCACACCCAGCTACCGTAAACTCACGTGACACAGGTCTCCTCCTCATCTTCTGGTTGAAAAACAAAGATGTGGAGAAATAGATTATGTATCTCCCAAGAAAGCATCTCAGGAGGTGGACACAGGTGACCTTGACCCCAGGCCAAAGCCACCAGCACATCTTTGCTGCCCCTCGGGGAGCAGGGAGCATCCTTTCCACAAAGTCGGGCGAGGCACAAAAGCGCCAC